CCCCCGGCTTAACCAGCTTGGGAGCTGGCATCCTTCCCGCTGCTAGCAGCGCTGATCACAAAGAAAAAGGGGGATGGGGGGATACTAGTGATTATTCTCTGCTCTCCCCCCCCCCACACACTTTTTTCATAGAAAATGAGAGTTGGAAGAGACCTCAGGAGGTCACATCTAGTCCAACCCCCCCTGCTCCTAACTAGATTTTCCCAGCCAAGGGTTTGTCTAGCTGGGTCTTAAACCTTCAAGGTTGGAGATCCCACCACATCTCTGGGTAGCGTGTTCCCTGGGTTCTCTGGGTAGCTTTACTCCCTTCCTAGTGAGAGAGTTTTTCCTAATATCCAACCTAAACCTCCCTTGCTGCAACTTGAGACCATTGCTCCTTGTTCTGTCATCTGCCACCATGGAGAACAGACCAGCTCCAGCCTCTTCGTAACCCCCCTAGAGGCTGCTCTAAAATCCCCTCTGTCTTCTCTTCTGCAGACTAAATAAGCCCCGTTCCAGCAGCCTCTCCTCAGAAGTTTTAATTGAAACTACCCAGGCAGCTCTATAAAGAATGGAGTAATTCATAGCTACATTACTGGTAGGAAAAAAAACAGCGAAAGCTCGGACGTAAATATGCAAGGCAGTTATTTCTTTTTTATATTTTGGTGTGCAGTGCCTCAGCATGTGTGGCGAATAAATTTGGACACTCCAGAGGAAGCCCATCAGAACCTCTCTTTCAGTGCTGCTGATCGCTGGTGGGAGCAAACAGATCTGACCAAACTTATCTTAGCCTCAAACAAACTGCAGTGTCTTTCAGAGGATGTCAGACTTCTTCCTGCTCTCACTGTGCTGGATGTAAGTACTGCAATCCCGTTAAAGAACATCAGTTGCTGTCAGATTGTAGTCGCGTTCTGGAAGGCTGGGAGAAGGGAGACAATCTATTCTTTCTCACCGTCCCCTCCTGGTTCTGTTCTGGCTGATGGAATAGAACGGGGAGGAGATGATGTGGTATCATTGTCTTCTTAGGGGAATGTAGGAATTGCCTTAACAGATCAAAACTTCATTAGAAAACATTAAAAATGACAGTTTTCCCATGGCTTTGGAAGACAGTATAGGACCCCATACATAGTTGGTATATGATGATGTGATGTAGGCCATGCAGTTGGTTATGCAGCCTACACTAGCCCACGGTAAAGTGGGTAGGAAGTTTCAGTGTGACGCTAGAAAAGAGAGAGATCAGAGCCCACCCGTTGACCCAGAGTTGTCAGGTTAGAGACATTCTCAGACAGTAATTATTAGAATGGGGTGTACAATTGCTGGGTGGGGAAGGTATATCTCACCCAGCATCTTGATGGTGGACAGTACCATATGCTTCTTAGGTATTTCCAGAAAACTCTTTAATGGACAGTTATGAAATTCCTTGTTTCCTGTGGACAAGTTATAGTTTACCTAATCAGAAATTTGCCCAAATGGTATTTATGTCCAAAACAAAAATACTGGGAAATCCTTATTGAAGCCTTACCCTCTTTCCTCTCCATGCTTCTCCAGAGATCTGAACGTTTCTAGCCACCATATCCCTTTTTTGAGTGTTGGGTTATTGGAAATTGCAAGAGGACTGCAGTAGTACTATAATATCCAGAGCTTATGCTTTGGGCTCCAGTGATAAGGTAACTGGAATGCTGCAAGGACAGTGTGTCTAGCATGCTGGTGAAAAAGTGCCCTTTAGGGCTCGTCCAAATGAGCGTGCATGTGCGGTTTGCAGCGCTGCAGACCTGTCTGCAGTGCTGCAAACTGCATGTGCCACACACAAGCATTTTCCATGCTGCAAATTAGCAGCATGGTGGGTTCTTTTGACACTGGGAGATCCCAGTGCAAAACCTGTGGCAGAAAAAAGCGGGGCGGTGTGTGTAGTGGCAGCATGTGCCACCTGAATCCAGAGCCAGGCTAGCCAGAGCCATGCTCCAGCTGCCAGCCAGGCTCCGTATGGCCGGATTGCTGCTGCTGGAGCCATGGGGGGCCCACAGGTAAGGCTGCTGGGGCCAGCCCATGTGCTGGCCCCAGCCTCCCCTACCCAACCCTGGGGCAACTTGCTGTGCACCAGAGCGTGTGTATACAGGCATTTTCCAGGTATAAGTAGCAGCACAAATATTTGCCACTTGTGTTTGTCCCTGGCGAAATGTATGTCTGTGCTTGTCTGAACACGCCCTTAAATGTTTTATGAGCTGAAGTCCTACAGTGCTGGTACTGGTTTACTTGGGGAAGGGAGCTGCTCCTCTTCCCTGAAAAGAAGGTTGCCATGGCAAAGGCCTTTTTGTGGATGGTAGGTGGGAAATAAGAGAGAACATTTGGTTGGGGATCCTTGAAGAGTGAAAAGCTGTAATTAAGGAATACATATACTCAGATCTTGGAAACTTAAGAGACATAACTAGAGGTAGATACAGAAGAGCAGAAGTGTGTACACGCAGATGCAGGGTTGAGTCTCAGATCAGGGTTCACTCTAAGTCAGGGGTGGGCAAAATGCGGGCCGTGGGCTGGATGTGTCCCTCTAGGCCATTCTATCCAGCCTGCGGGGCCCCTAAAAAATTAAGAGAAGTAATATTTATCTGCCCCAGGCTGCCTGTCATTTGGCCCTCGATGGCTTGCCAAAACTCAGTTAAGTGGCCCTCTCCCAAAATAATTGCCCACCCCTGCTCTAAGTGATCTGGGTAAGAAATGGCTCAGTCATGCAGCAGAGAACTCCCCTTTTTCCTTTTGTTACCAATTTGATTCTTTCCCATCTATTTTTAATTGAGTGCTTAC